TATATTGTCATTTTTATTACTTTTTATATTTCTGTTTAGGTTTAATTTATATATATTTCAGTTTTTGTAATTTTAATTTCAACTTGTTGTTTAATTTTAAATTTTTATTTTAAATTTTATTTATTTTATTTCAATAAAAAAAAAAAGGTTTTAACAGTTTTATTTGTTATAACAACACTATTTTTATTACTTTTTATATTTCTGTTTAGGTTTAATTTATATATATTTCAGTTTTTGTAATTTTAATTTCAACTTGTTTAATTTAAAATTTTTATTTTTAATTTTATTTATTTTATTTCAATAAAAAAAATAGGTTTTAACAGTTTTAATTGTTAAAAATAACAACACTGGTCTCAAAAAAACAAAATAAAATTATCATAAAAGCTTTAAAATCTCAATATTTCTTATAAAGTCATATGATGGACTGACATGAAGGTGAGTAAATATTGACAAAATCATCATATTTTGGCTGAACTATCACTTTAAAACACATTAAATACATTTTTATATTTTCAGATTTAATTTTAGTTTAAGTTTTAGCAATTTCATTATGCGCCATTTTTACTACTTTTTATATTTCTACTTTATTCTTCTACTTTTTAATTAATTTAAATTAATTTTTATTTAGTTTATTTATTAAATTTTAGTTTTAGTAAAATCAGTTTTAGTCATTTTAATAATTTTTCAGCTTACTTATTTTCAGCTATTTGCCAATGCAAATTTATTGATATTTTGAATTAGCTTTTATTTTTATATTTTCAGATTTAATTTTAGTTTAAGTTTTAGCAATTTCATTATGCGCCATTTTTACTACTTTTTATATTTCTACTTTATTCTTCTACTTTTTAATTAATTTAAATTAATTTTTATTTCGTTTATTTATTAAATTTTAGTTTTAGTAAAATCAGCTTTAGTCATTTTAATAATTTTTCAGCTTACTTATTTTCCGCTATTTGCCAATGCAACATATACAAAATAAAAACAAAAAAAACATTTTTATATATATATTTTCAGATTTAATTTTAGTTGAACTTTTAGTAATTTTAAGTGCTTTTGTCATTTTTTTATTTATATTATTTTATATACTTTTTATATTTCAGCTTTAATTTATATCTATTTTAATTGTAGTCATTTTAATACTTCAACATATTTTCTGTTATTTGCTAAAATGCAACATTTCTTAAAATGTTCATCTAATATTTAATTAAATTTTATTTTAACAACAACATTTTAACATTATTAAACAACAATGGTGTTCAATAGTTTTAGCTTTAGTTGACAGTAACAACACTGGTCAAGTGTCATAAAAGTAGTCTATATGCTCAATATTTCTTATAAAGTCATATGATGGACTGACATGAAGAGTAAATAATGCGAGATTCTTAATTTTTTGTCTGATCTATTCACACACAGCAGCAGTCTTGCATTGACGGCTCTTCCCATGTGATTGTGCTGAGATCTTTAGTCTAATGTTTACCCCTCAGATCACAGATGTGAACCTGTCCGTTACCTTGGAAACCAGGCTGGCTCGGTACGCTGCCAGGGCCTTCAGGTACTCCTTCTTTGCTGCTTCTGTTTTCCGTTTGTATGCCTGCGAGGAGACGAAACACATAATTTATATCTATTTTAATTGTAGTCATTTTAATACTTCAACATATTTTCTGTTATTTGCTAAAATGCAACATTTCTTAAAATGTTCATCTAATATTTAATTAAATTTTATTTTAACAACAACATTTTAACATTATTAAACAACAATGGTGTTCAATAGTTTTAGCTTTAGTTGACAGTAACAACACTGGTCAAGTGTCATAAAAGTAGTCTATATGCTCAATATTTCTTATAAAGTCATATGATGGACTGACATGAAGAGTAAATAATGCGAGATTCTTAATTTTTTGTCTGATCTATTCACACACAGCAGCAGTCTTGCATTGACGGCTCTTCCCATGTGATTGTGCTGAGATCTTTAGTCTAATGTTTACCCCTCAACATCAGCGCTGACCTACAGATATCACAGATGTGAACCTGTCCGTTACCTTGGAAACCAGGCTGGCTCGGTACGCTGCCAGGGCCTTCAGGTACTCCTTCTTTGCTGCTTCTGTTTTCCGTTTGTATGCCTGCGAGGAGACGAAACACAACTGTGAATAAACATACAGAAACACACAGACACACAGACACAGACACAGACACACACACACACACACAGACACACAGACACACACACACACACACACACACACACACACACACACACACACACAGACACAGACTCACACTCACACTCACACTCACACACACACACAATGTTGCATTTCAGAGAAACACAATTACAATGTATTGCATGTTGCATATTGCATGCATATTGCATTTTAGTAATTTTTATGTGCTTTTGTCATGTTGCTATTAGTTTTTTTATATATTTAATTTAATTTACATCTATTTCAGTTTTAGTTTTAGTAATTTTAACACTTTTATTTCAGTTGACCCCACAGATATTTTTTCTTGTTTTAAGCATAAATACTGAGTAAGAAAATTTTTTTTTTTTTTTACAGTGCATGTCGCATATTGCATGTGAATGTAAATGCAGTTGTCATAATGTAAGTAAATGAACTACATATTTCAAACAAAATCATATGTATGTGTATCATATTGAGGAGAGACCAGAGAGATTTCTAAGTCTACATCCCACATAAAAGAAACGGCACAAAAGAAAAGGAAAGAAAAGGCTGGGGGACTGAATTTACATGCAAACAAAGTGAATGAAATGCAATGCAGGCTAATGTAATTGCTTGTCAATCATTTCACCATTCTAGAATTACGGTTTCCATTTCTTTTTGGCAACAAGTGCAGCCAATTCCCTGTGAAACTGGGACGGACATCAGAATGATTTCAGCTGATGGGGGAAAACACGCTTTAAAACGGTGACAAAATACGTCTCGCTGCTTCCAGACACATCCAGAAGACAACGTAAAATCACAAGCAGAGAAACTGAAGGAAAAAAGCAGCGTGACTTCACAAGATGAATATGGCTGCGGTCCCACAGGAAAGAAAAAACACAAATGAGATCTCCCGAATATCTCAATTCTGTCTGCGAGACAGCAATGAGATTATACGGAGTGCAAACGCTTTCTTAAAATAAGAGCCGGAAATCTCACATGTGTCTCTACAGTTTACGACACTTCTACTTTCAGTGTAATTTAAATAATATATCAATTTTTTCACATTACAGTAAGGGGAATTTAGGGGGAAATTTGCCACATTTTCATGATAATAATGTCACAATGCAAATAAAAAACAAAAATAAATAAATAAAAACACAAAAGTTAATCTTTATTTAAAACACAATTTTTCAAAAAATGAAATATAAGTGTGAAGATCATCTGGAATACATCTGGACATGATCTTGAGATTTATAGACAAAACATAAAAAACAAATTTCAAAATTATAAAAATGATCAAACAATATAAAAAAAATATTATACAGTAACATAATAAATAATATAAAATAAAATACAAAAACTATAAAAGACACAAGAACTTGTTTGTGCATCTATCTAGAAGTGCCAAATTATTATACAATACTGTAATATTAAAATAATATGGTACCGTAATAAAATATAAAATAAAATAATATAAAAGATACAACAACTTGTTTGTATATCTATCTAGAAAGAGAAAAATAATTATAAAATACTGTAATATTAAAATAAAATAATAATAAAAATAATAAAATAAAATAAAAAATAGAATAAAATTAAATATAAAAGACACAAGATCCTGTTAATGAAGCGGTTATGACTGGAGCACTAAAGCTGCTCTAATCAGTAAATAATTATGAACTTCTACACCTACAGCAGGAACGACACGTTTAATGAAACACGCACATATTCATACAACACTCACAGCAAGCAAACACACAGATGGATTGAGAATACAAACACAATCTGGCCTCAAAACCAATGAACCGCAGCAACTGTTTAACGCCCTCATCAGTAGTAGATCTAGTTGAAAAGCTGGTTTGGTTGACTGTTTTAAAGTAACACTACTTTGTTTTGTCAAATTGAAATGGTTTGTTCACTAAATGTAAAATGCTTCATTCTGTATCATTTATTCATGCTGCAATGCATGCTGGGAACTCATGAACTTTTAACACCTCAGCAATATTGCTGAATATAAAATTCTTTGTTTTATTGGCTGCTCTTTTGTATAACATGGGTTTCATGCATTTATAAGTAATTCCTATTTTTTAGTATTAGTGACACAAAAGTTACATAAATAAAATAAAATAATAAAATAAGTGTTTTAGTGTAGGATTTACTTCAAAAATTAACTCAGAAATTGCTAGTAAAATTCACAAATTGTTAAATTATTAAAATAAAACAGCACAATAAAACAGCAAATAAAATTTAATTAAAATTTAATTAAAAATTAAAAAACAATATATAATATAATAAGTGTTTAGAGTAAGATTTACTTAAAAAAAATTCACTCAGAAATTGCTAGTAAATTTTACAATTACAATAAAACAGCAAATGACAAAATAAAAAAACCTACATAAAGTAAAAATAAAATAAAAAAAATAAAATAAGTGTTTACTGTAGGATTTACTTTAAAAATTCACTCAGAAATTGCTAGTAAATTAAAAAATTTTTTTTACAATAAAACAGCAAATGACACAAAAAAAAAGTAAAAAAAAAAAAAGAATACAAATAAAATAAAAATAAAAATGTAGCTTGTAGCCGTAGCTTCGTCTAGTTCTTATTTTATAGTTGATTTGTGAGTGTAAATGTCAGGTTTTTAATTATGGCTGTAACTGTGGATCCGCCGGCACGCTTGAAAAATAAAACAGCACAATAAAACAGCAAATAAAATTTAATAAAAATGTAATTAAAAATTTAAAAAAATATATAATATAATAAGTGTTTAGAGTAACTGAGAAGTTGATTTTCACCCAACATTTAATCAACACAACAAAAATAACAGACCCTAAACATGAATAGCTTCAGCGGACGCGAGTCAGTGACCTTGCGCGGCGATGGTTAAATATTGAACGAGGTGGCGTCGCTTTTTGTGGTAATGAACTCCCGAGGAGCTCCCAGCAGCTTTGGTTTCAAATTAATTTAACCTCCGCTAATGAGTGGCCCTAACGACAGCGGCTCTTAAATAAATTACCATGCCTAAGGATTTCTAATTATTCCAAAGTGAGCGGATTCATTAGCAATTGAAGCCGTCAGAGAAGGAGCAGGTCGCTGTGAATTAGAGGTAACGGAGCATGTGTTGGCGTCTTAATCGTGACACGCAGAATTAGCTGTAATTATACCTAAATGAAATGTTCTTGTTTGATAACCGGTTAATTATGGAAGACAATAACCGCTGACACGGTGAACGGGCGTAAACCCGGAGGGGAGAGAGAGATACAGCGCTGAGAGATGCATTTCAGAGAATCAGAGAAACTCTTCATTTGTGTCTCTCTGAGTGAATCTGAAGAACAGCTGCATGCGTTCAGGATGAGAAACAACACACGCTGAGTTTGAAGTGTTATTAGCTGGTGTCGGACGACGACAGACCATCCAAGAGAAGAGAAAAGCTTCTTAATTAATGAGGCTGAAGTGTGACATACCCAATGGAGAGCAAGAGAACAAGATCATTATTCATAAGTGAGAGGTATGAAGCACAAAAACCATGCATGAATCTCGGGAAAACATGCCCAGGTCACATGACACCCCCAAATGTAATCGCTGGGATGCATTTGGTTACATTTGAGTTTGAGTTTGTTTGTTAATTCTTTGTATTATTCTGAAATTTAACTATTTATCAATTTAACAAGTTTTTATTTAAATCAGCATGAATTAAATAAACGCTTCCACAATAAAGAAAGAATGGTGTAGGATTCATTTTGAAACAATTTGCACACAGAAATTGCTAGTCAATTTTACAATTAATTATCAAGAAACAGCAAGTAACCAATTGAATTACATATAAATTTGTTTTGAAAAACTTGTTAATAGAAATAGAATTTTCTTGTTAAACATACTCCATTGTTTTAATTTTATTTTATTTTATTTACAACTTTGAATAAATTTTTTTTTACAGTGGATGATATCTAAATGCTACTTTTAATACTTAAAAAAAATAATAATATATATTTTTTCACATTACAGCAATGAGAATTTGGCGGAGAAATGTGCTCAATTTTCATGATTTTTATTTATTTTCTGGGTTTTTTTTTTCAATTTTTTTAATAAAATATGAAGTGTGAAATATGTCTGGAAAATATCTGGACATGTTTTTGAGACTTATGCATTAAATACAGGGGGGAAAAGTGATGAAAAAGAGAAAATAATGTAAATAATATATGTAAATAATAATAAAATCATATAAAAAAATAAAATAAAATACTAAATTATGAAAGTAAAAATGCAAATATCAAAAAATTAAGATAATTATAAATATTATTAAAATAATGAGATAAAATAATGAATAGAATAAAATAAAATACTAAAGTAAAAAAGTAAAACATAAATATCTAAAAATGAAAATAATTATAAATAATATTAAAATAATATGACAAAATAAGGAAAAAATTAAATCCTAAAGTAAAAAAAATAAAAAAAAATAAAAAAAAATGAAAAAAAAAAAAAAAAAAATACTAAATTATGAAAGTAAAAATGCAAATATCAAAAAATTAAGATAATTATAAATATTATTAAAATAATGAGATAAAATAATGAATAGAATAAAATAAAATACTAAAGTAAAAAAGTAAAACATAAATATCTAAAAATGAAAATAATTATAAATAATATTAAAATAATATGACAAAATAAGGAAAAAATTAAATCCTAAAGTAAAAAAAATAAAAAAAAATAAAAAAAAATGAAAATAATTATAAATAATAATAAAATAAAATAAAAACTATACGAAGACTTAAGAACATGTTTGTATATCTATGTCGAAGTGTAGACCCTGTTCTTAATGACCCGGGTGTGACTGGAGCTCTGAAGCTTCTCTAACCAGTAAATAAATGTTAGGGAATGAGAGCTTATTGCCTGCGGTTGAGAGGGTAGCTGGAATTATGCCTGTTCAGCCACCGCGGTTCTACATCATTTAACATATT